GAGATTGGAGTGATATGCCTACAAGTCAAGGAACGCCAAGGATGGCTGGCAAGAACGGACTCTTTCCTAGAGCCTTTACAGGGAGTATGGCCCCGCCCACACCTTGGTTTCAGACTTTCTGGTCTTCATGACTGTGAGAGAATACACTTCTGTTCTTTAAGCCACCAAGTTTGGGGTACTTTCCTATGGATTGTGACACTCTAGGAGAACGAAGAGAAGCCTGGTCTCCTAAAAAGCAAGTAAATAAAATGTTTCAAGAAGGTTGTGATGATCTGTGTCAAATGAGAGGCCAAGCTATTGAAAGAGGCAGTGCTGCAGAAAGAGTGAAAGAAGAATGAGGGAGAATGACACAGAGATCTGCAGAAAACTACAAAAGAGAGGGGAAACAGGTGATAAAGTCTGAGGGCCTATGGTCGACTGTCAAAGGAGCTGTGGATTTTAGGGAAGAAAGGCAAAAAGTGGTGTGGAATCATGCACAAGGGGCAAGGAAGGTCACTACCCCACCTCAGGCCCTCATGTTCTCCCCCTCTCTCTCCTCACTCCAAACACAATCCCACCGAAATGTTCAAGTTCATCTACTCTTCATGCCCTGGAGTATCTCTTTGGGTAATCCCATCTAAGACAAACAGCTCCCAAACCAGCCTGGTCCCAGGAACTGATCAATTCTAGGGATGTTTTAGAACAATGTGCTCGGGACGCCTGGATGGCTCAGTGGTTGAGCGTCTGCCTTTGGCCCAGGGCATGATCCTGGTCCCGGGATCGAGTCCCACACATTGGGCTCCTGATAGGAGCCCTCTGCCTCTGTGTGTGTGTGTGTGTGTGTGTGTGTGTGTGTCTCGTGAATAAATAAATAAAATCTTAAAAAAAAAAAAAGAACACTGTGCTCACAGTAGGAGCTCAGACTACCAACAGTAAGACTGAATAAAAACCCAATGTCTGCCCCAAAACAGATCCACTCACTTTAGGATTCTCCAAGTCAGTGGTTCTTAATGGGAATGATTTTGCCCCCCAGGAGATATCTAGGGATATTTTTAGTTGTCACACTGGAGAGTAACAAGGGGGCAGGTTGCTATGGTATCTGGTGGGTAGAGGCCAGGCATGCTGCTAAATACCCTACAAGGCACAGAATATCCACAACAAAAACTTACAGGCCTAAAATGTCAATTGAACAAAGACTGAGAAGCCCTACTCTAGACCAAATGACCTGGAGCAAGAGGAGCTCTTAGGTTCTTTCCTATGGGCAAGCAATCCCATCCGTGCCAGTTTCTCTACGATAGTTCTGACAGGGTATGGCTAAGGGGCCAGACCAAACAGTCAGCCTTATGAATTCCATTCCAAATCTACTCAAATAGGGCCAGGAAAACTAGGGGTGTGGGGTGTGGGGGGGGGGGGACAACAACAAAAGTTGAGGTTAGCTAAAAAGTAAAAAGTTAAAAAGAAAGAAGAAATTGTGTCCTATATCAAATGTTAAAGAGGCAAGATTAAAATTAGAACAAAAGACTTTTCTTTAAACTTAAAAAAGCAGAAAATGCAACTCTTTTCATTTTGAATAATAAATAATACCATATAGTAAAATTCAAAAGCCAGCATGCTCTCTGGCAGCTCTACCCACTGCCAAAAACATTCCTTCAATAAGGTGCTTCCATATTCTTGACTGCAAAAGGAAGCTAATTAGTTTTTTTTTTTTGAGAAAACATCTTGAGACTTCAAAGTAATTAATCTGTTGTTTTTATTTTTTTTATATTAATGTGCTGCTTTTAAAGTGAGAAGCCATGAATCTTGACATTAAGGAACTTCCGCGTTCTCACTTCATTAATATTTTACTCACAGTATCAATATTTTATTAGATCCATAATCATCTACAGTTGGCCTTCCCAGAATTCCCATTCGTTCTCTTTCAGGCTATCTCACCAATTAACAGTTTTCCCTTCCTGAAGGGATTTCCAGGGAATTGTTTTTGAGGAGTGTACTACTTTCTACAGGGAAGGCATTCTGACTCTACCATTTCTGGTTCCACCTTAAAATCCGCTCCAGGAAGGTTTCAACCAATGCACAGAGGGTGGGACTACTGTGTCTTAAGGAGAAATTAGATCCTCCTGCCTTAATGCTTCATCAGCAAGGCTGCCTGGAATCCAGCGTGTGTTTTATCAGGGGAAACCTTTGCAGCAAGATGGTTTATGTGCATATTATTAAGGCAGTAAACCCCCACTGAAGTTCCCATTTATGTGTGACCCCTGACCTGGGAAGAGTCAGGTCTGACCATCAATTGTCTCCCACCAGGCTGAAACCAGATGCAGCTTCAATAGACAGAGAGGTCCTCAACCTCCGCTCCTCCGTTCAGGTGCCAGGAGTTTGTAAAGAAAAGAGCACTATGAATATTTCTCTTAGAAACACATCTACACAATGTCCCACAGTGTCCCTCCCAGGACTGGTACAAGAGTAGGGCCCATATCTACTGGATGCTCTATACACCCAGTTAAAAGGCAACATGTATTGGTATTCCAGTAACACAACAGATTTTTTTTTTAAGGAAAGTAACCCAAGAAATACATATATAAATACAGATACACATGTACATATATCTCTGTGTGTGTGTGTGTGTGTGTGTACAGAGAGAAAAAGAGATTGCTTGACTTACTGTTAGATAAATTCAAGAAAAAAAATCAGAAATATCTCAAAATGTCCATCAGGGGAATGGTCAAGCAAATTACATCATACTTACATAATGGAGGAAAAAAGAGGGGAAAAAAAATGTAAGCCTGTCTATCATATGCTAAGTGTGTTCGTATTATTTTATTTCACTCTCCTCATTTTTCCATCAATTACCCTATTAGGTAAGAGTCACTAACCACAATTTACAAAAGACCAATGAAAAGCCCGTAAAAGAAGGCAGTTGCCCTGGGTCACAGAGCTAGTAAAGAGCAAAGCTGAGACTCACATCTAAGTTTTCTTACTCTGCCCAGCGCTTATTCTTGCTCTCTGCATCCCAGATTTTCCTCCCAAGATCTATATTTGGACTAAGTCAAATAAATGGAATTGTAAATATAAAATAATGTTAAAGGACAGCCCAGGTGGCTCAGCGGTTTAGCGCCGCCTCTGGCCCAGGGTGTGATCCTGGAGACCCGGGATCGAGTCCCACGTCGGGCTTCCTGTGTGGAGCCTGCTTCTCGCTCTGCCTGTGTCTCTGCCTCTCTCTGTGTGTCTCTCATGAATAAATGAATAAATAAAATATTTTAAAAATAAAATAAAATAATGTTAAATAAAAGTCAAACCATAGCATAGCTGTATGGGTTTTAATCATGTGAAACCGTATATGCACGTACTACAACTGATGACCATCGGAATGAGACTGACAGAAAAAACTGGAATTAAAATCACCCCAATTCGTTTCTCCTATGAAGTTGCTTCAGCATATAGTAAAGAAAATCACCAATATCTGCTCCTCCGTGCATGCCCATCCCAAGCTAAACTAAGGTGAAGATGAGGCGATAAATTTAAAACGCCTTGTTAGAAGGCTGAATGTGGCTGGGCCAGTTGAAGATAAATATCCCATCCTTCATAAAATTTTCAACTCTTTCAGAGACAAACAAACTGACTGGTTGATTTTTTACACTAGGTCAAAAGATGAAATTTCTCTGCAACTTAAAAAGCTTTGAGAGCAAGTTCATGTCTCTACAGAACTCTCCTTTTATAAAAATTAGCACTTATACTATATAACAAACATTCTTAAAATTCTTCCTCCAACCAAAAGAACTTAATCCTGGGACAACCCCTTTGCAGTGGCTTTGCCCATGAAGCATCTATCACCTTCAGTCAAACAGAATTATCTTGGAATCTCCCTCCTCTTGTTCCTCTCCTCGGGTTTGGGGGGTATCATGCTGCTTTATGGAGGAGCCAGACCCAGGCACAGATCCCACTCGACCTCCACATTATGCTGTAAGTTGCAGAAATAACTAGGGGTGGGCCTGGAGTGCAGCCGCCCCATGCCAGAGCCACTGGGAATTTATATGAATAACTGCCCTTCCAGGGATAAACTGACAAAAGGCTCACTAGGTTTACACAGTCCTGTTCTCAGACCCAAAAGCTGAGAACTGGGCAAGATGCCACTTTTATCTTGCCCCTTGGTTCTTTCAATTTTATAAGAGGAGGTTATCTGTGTCTCCTGACTTCGGGAAGACAGTAGATGCATGAAATGTTGGCAAAAGTTTTCTGAAATTGTTTTTAAAAAGAAAATGGTTTATAAATACAATTCCCATTGGTGTCCATTTCTTTATGAAAAAATAAATATTTTAGGAAATGTGGAAGTCAAAGTTCCTCTATCGGTTTGCCTAAAAACCACCGTTTTATCGAGTAATAACCTCCCTTAGTTCCCTTTCATTTTAAAACTCTTAGCTATTTCCTCTCTTCTTCTGTTGACTACTACTAATAAAATATCCTGATTCAAGAATCTAGGAAAATGCTTGAAATGACTTCAATCAGATTAGATCATACTATTATTAAACTTGAGGGGAGCAATTAGATCCACAGTTCAAATCTTCCTAACACCATACACACACAAAAAGTCAGTTAGCTAAAATGGCTGATGTCATTCTTGGCTTCTGGCTACAGCTCCAGAGGTTTTATTACCAGGACATGTACTGACACTTCCTTAAATATGCCAGTCACTCTATGGAAAGCTCTGCATATATTATCTCATTTAATCTTCACGACAATCCTAAGCAGTCATTATTTTTGTTATTAATATTGTTACTGTTAAAGTTCTCACTATCTATTCCCATTTTATAGATGAGGAAGCAGGCGCAGAGCAGTGAGTCACTTGCCCAACCAAGATCACTCATCTAATACACTGGGAGCTAGAGCTGAATCCCAGACTGGCCGGCTCCAGCACCCACGGGACCACCGCACCATCACTGGTGCTCTCTGCTAAAGGCTATTCAGTCGGCTCCTCCTCTCTAAGTCAGGTGCATTGCTACTGTTCCCAAACACAAATTCAAACTCACATCTCTCATCATTTTCACTGCTTCCCTGGTCCTCCCGAGTCTTCTGGCACACATTGCTAGCCTTCTTTTGATGTAGACCAAGACATTGGTATCTCGTCCTGAAGAAGGAAATATAAAATACCAAAATTTAAAAATACAAAAGCTTTCAGTTGAGTAGCAAGAAAAAATACAAAGGCCCATTTGCCATGCCCTTAAAGGAAAACCTCAGAGAGAACAGAGTGCTCCTCTGGCTTTTTCTTACTGCCAGGAGCACTGACAGTAACTGTGCTAATAGTAAAATATATACAGTGTAGTCAAGGTGCTTAGATTTCCAAAGGTCAATTCATGTGACTGATTACCTAATCCATGCCTTTGAATCAGGATGTTGAATATTTGATAAATAAAATCATCTGCCACAAAGTGCTGGGAAAATGAACATACCCACAATGAATGTGGTTTATAAGCAAGAATTCCATATTCTTCAAATCTGCATGCTTTTGGTGGAGATGCAAAGAGGTGAATCTCAGGTTGCATCTTGATGAACTATTTTTTTTCCTTCTTGACATTAAAGTCTGGAGAAGCCTCATCTTGAACTCCTGTTTTATATTATTCTTCCTCTAACACCAGTGACATCATAATCATCTCCAGGTCCCTGAAGCAGTGTATTTTAGATGGCAATATAACACATTCCAGATATGACAATAGAGTACGCAACAAAATGAAAACTACCCTAGTGTTAGAGAAAGCACTGACAAGCTAACTGGTTATAATAATAGTCACTAAAATGGCTCTTAAAAAGTACATTAACGACTTCTCATCTTAATCTTTTATTTAATTATATGTCTTTTTGGATATGTTTCTAGACCAGTGAGAACATGCATGCATTTAATCCTCAATAAAATTACCATGTTTTAGAAAAATATGACACACCTGTTATAGATTAAGTACATGTATAATATGCAGCTATTAAAAGATGTTAAGACCCAAGTCCTAACATTTCAAGTTTTAAACAATGAGAACAAGATGTGTGCTGAAAATCTGCCAAGTGCCTACAAATTATTTTAAAGATGTGATTATATTTTTTGGATAGATTTAGGCAATAGGTTGAAAGGATTTAATTTACAGAAGAAAAGAAATAAAGAAAATTTCTAAAGTTATAGATAATGTAATTTTATGTGTTAATTCTCATTTAGTTCACAAAATAGATATTACTATACAATGCCTACAAAATTCATTTTAAAAAAAGGCAAGATACAGATGTGATTAGAGATTTGATTAACATACATACTGCAGAATGCAAATAAAATTCATGTATTATTATGTTGTGTGGGCATACTCATGTATATACACAAAGATCAAGGATCTCACTGTACCTTAGTCCTAAGGACTAATGCACTCAGTCTCTGCACCAAATCCAAGTTTAGCACTAAAATTCAATTTTATAATCTCAAATACGAAGGAGATGCAGTCCTACTCTCCAAGATGCAGGTGGGAAAAATGAGGTGAGAAATTCTACCCGAAGGAAACAACCTGAAGTCTGAATGGACAATGGAAGGATTATTACATTTCTACTTAAACAATCAAAAATCTGACAAGTCAGAGGCTCCAGGTATTCCAGAAATGATTTTGTTGTCTTGTTTTTATACCCTTCCCCAAAAATATCAACTGATCCTCTGTTTACTAAAGTGAAAGACCTCATTTTAAACAGGAATTTTAAATAAAAGCAGTCACTATTTTTAATATAAAAAAGATAAATAAGTAGAAACTCAGCTTTTTTAATCTCTGGAAGCCAATACAAATGAGCTAAATACTGAGATAATCACCAATAACCGTGATTTTCTTAGTTGTCCTATTTAAACCCATGCTGCAGAAGACTTGTAAGAGAAAATCTTGGATTACATTAACACGAATTTAAGTCCTGTTTCCCAAGTAGGCCTTATCTAACTTATGGGGCAGAGAAATAACTAATAAACAGAAATACATAAGAATTCTGAGGAGAAAAAAGATTACCATCAAAGCTTATTACCACTTATTTCTGGAGTTAAGAATCTAAAGACTAGGAAAGAGAATCTGAAAATGAATGTGAACAGTAATGAAGCTATAAATTAATAATGCAATGTGCTCTTATGGGAAGGAAAAAAAATTAATAGAAAGGAAAAAGGAAGGAAAGAAAAAGAAAAGAAAGAAAGAAAGAAAGAAAGAAAAAGAGAAAGAAAAAAAAGAAAGAGAAAAACTAGTATTTACTCTCATCTATGAGAATCACATTTTGAACTGGCCTGAACCTCTCGTTCTGATTAATCATGTCACAGTTCTGACCCCCCAACACGTCAGCCTGGAGAAAGCCTTACTATGTTGGGCTTCGTACTGGGACCCGTGATGCTGTAGCTGCTGCGAACGCCGATAACAGCCGTCTCCAGCCTTCAGGGCCTGCTTGAACAGCTTTTCTGCTTCAGCAATGGTCGTTGCTTCCTCTTCAGCCAAGAGAATATAAGCAGTCGCACACCTGTCCATTCAGATAATAGCCACCATCAATTACAAATCCAAGGACACCGTAGCAGCTGTAGGAGTGCATGCAGAAGGGCAAGGAGTTATGCCAAAACATGCAGAGTGGCCAACTGGTTCATGCACCCCTGGTTTGTAGTTGTTGACACAAAAATAATGACACAAAAGAAATGTCTCTATTTTAGCTTGAAAGGTAGGATGTGTAGTGTTAGGAACGTGGGGCTCACAAAGGGACTCTGCCCCTTATTAGTGTATCACTTTGGGCAAGTTATTACTCTGCCTCCCTGCTGGAGCACGACATGGAATCTAACTGTTCACAGTGTTGTTGCGAAGGTTAAGTAAGGTGATGCATGTGAAGTGCTTAGTACAGTAGCTGGCATGGGGTCCACACTCAGTAAGCGTCAACTGACGTAGGCAATGACGATAGCTGTTGTGGAAGATCTCCTTCCAGCTCTCAAGGTTTGAGAGCCCTACAGAAAGTTTCCTTCTATTTACTAAACACGAATTCTTTCCAGTCTAAAGATTTCTTCAGAATGATAAGTTCATTAAATCAGATCAGTTACTCATTTTAAAAAAAACAACAACAAACAAACAAACAAAAAAAAAACAGCGCTTCACCATCTCATTATAGTCAGCACTGATTTTCTGGTCAGAGAACACTAGAAGAACCTACAGGTAAGGTTATTTCTGCAGAGCTCAAAATCTGATTCCGCCTCAGCAGTGAACAAGAGTTCATTCATCTCACGCCTTTCACAGTAAGAGCTACCACCTGTTGCTTAGTATACGGTAAGCACTGTACCAGGCACTTAACATATATCGTCTCATTTAATCCTTTCAACAACCTCTAAGGTAGGAAGCCAGAAAGGATAAGCAGTTAACTAACAAACAAGGGGAACTCTTGGAAATCTCAACCGTCCCAATCATATCAGAACTACCCAACCGCCAGAGAAAGGGAATGTAACAGGAAACGGTGAGGCCGGGGCAGACCATACAGGTCCCGATCTGCACGGATCCCTTTGCTTCCCTTCTTCTCCACCACCTCTCTTGTGGTCATTTCCCTACTTATCAGAATCTCCATCAGACCACAAGAGAGAAAATAAACAGAGAGTGAAACCAAATGTTACTTTTACTGCTCATAAACTACGGCAGCCCAGCTAGGAAAAGGAGGCTGAACTTACAGCTAATGGGAGGTTTGGGGTTACCAGTCAATCTTAGCCTTGGGGAGGGGTCTTGTCAATTCTTTAGTCAATCCCTCTAATTTCATGCAGGACTGATCAATGGGGCTTTAAACATAATGTAGTGCTGTAGGGAGAAACAATGCCCAGAAAAAATGCTGTAAAACCAATTACTACGGAGGGCAGCAGATATATGGCTCAGAAAGAACAATCATGATGCAGAAACTGCCCAGCGATTCACTGGAGAAAACTGGGACACGCATCAGGAAGCAACATTTAAGGCTTCAGATGCTGACATACAAATATGGGTCAAGGGTAATGAAGTGAAAATTGAGACTATAATACTGAGTGGTAGATATAGTATCAGAGGAATTAGCTGTAAGATTATAGTCAGTGGGCTGGGAATTCAAGACAGGTTAGGGCAAGTTGCTTGCTTTATTTATTTATATTTCAAACAGTATTCTTAGGAGGAGAGGCAGAGTAGCACTACTAGCCAAGAAAACATATATCTATGTGGAAAGTCATGAGTCTGGGGTAGAAACATGCTAAGAGCTTGTGAGTGAAGGAGAAAGGAAAGAGCAATAGAAGTGCTAATGGTTGGGGAGTACAGAACGACTGCTCAGCTCGATGGAAGATATAGATGATGCATCCTTGTCACAACACAGTACACATACAGAAGCAAGAAAGTATGGTGATGGGGGTGTCAACCATCCAGATATCTGCTAGAAGAAGTCTCATTTGGTTAGAAGTAGGGCACCCGACAGGTTCTTGACTTACTTTGGTAACAATTTTATCTCCCAGATGGTAGAGGAAGCAATTAGGGGAACTTCAACTCTGGACCTAATTCTGACCAAGAAGAAAAAAATAGTTGGTGAAATGGAAATTGATAGGAACATTCAGAGAGAGTTACTATGTCATTTTGGAGTTCAGGGTAATCAAAGAGGGTAAGGTGGACTTTCAAAAACTTCAAAGAAAAGAGGTATGATTCAATGGCATGAGACTCCGAAGGAAAAAAAAAATTGTGTAAGAGGGTTGGGCAGCTTCCAAATGTCCAGCTGTAACCGCAGTCACAAATGAGCCTCTCAGGAAGAAAAGAGGGGTGACAATAGAGTAACCAATACGGCTGCACAGAGATCTCTCACAAGGTCAGATTTTTAAAGGACATGTAAAAAAAGATGGAAAGAAGGCATGTAATGAAGGACTACAAGAGAGTGGAATGAGCTAGTAAGAGTAATGTCAGGAGAGCTAAAACTCCAAATTAGCTGAGGCTTGCAAAGCAAAATAAAGACAAAACAACATGCCAGAGACAACCATCTATTTATTCCCCGTTTTTAAATTATGTTTAAAGCCCTATTACCACCCCCATTTCTCTATGACCACGGCAAAAATAAATAAGCAAAAAAGACAAACAACACAACAACCACATCAAAACAAGAAAAGTTTATAGTTAGTAGCAGCAGATAATAGAGAGAAAGCAAAACTCTCTAACTCCTATATTTTTCCCTGGCTTCTCTATCAAGGAGCATGATGGTCAGGCTGAAAAAGGGAGAAGAAATTAAACTCTAATGTGGGTAAAAAGATGTAAGATAGCAAATAACTGATCTATTTTAAATGAAATACTGTACTGGGCTGGGCAAATCCCAGGAAGCCAACAGACCCCATAGGCAGGCCATGGAAGTGCTCTCTGTGGATAGTTAAGGAATCACAAAGAATGGACAGGTGCTAGAAGAATGAGATGACAAATGCAATAAAAATGTTCAAAAAGGGAAGAAGGGAGACTTCCCAAACTACAGAACAGTGACCGGGAAAGATATTCTAATGGATTATTAAAGGGATGGGCTCCAAGCATTTTTAAAAGAGAGTAGTGAACACTAGAAGCTAGCTTCAACTCAGTAAGAATAAATAAACCAGGTTGTGCTAGCTTAATTTACTTTAAAGAATTTTGCTGCACAGTAAAGATCCACAGCTACAACTGGCATTCTTAAGATCAAAATGCAGAAATATGAGCTGAATACAGTGCAACTTGGGTGGCTTAGTAATTGGCTGAACAATACCGAAGGATGAGGAGTCATGAAGACATGAACCTGGAGGATAGTTTGTATGTCACGTCACAGGGCTCTATCCCTGATCCTGACATGTTTATCAGAAACATGGATGACACACAGAAGGCAGGCATATCAAATTTGTAGATGACAAGAAACTGGAAAATAAATATGTTGTATGGACAGAATCAGAAACCAAATAGATCAACAGGTTACAATGGCAGGATTTCCAACTCTCGAGTGAATCTTGTTTCTAAGACCTCCGAAGAAGATTCTGTAACCTTCTTCAAAAAAAAAATCATAAAATAGTTTAACAATGACCACTTGGCAGGGAGAGTGTCGAGGTGATTCAAGCACCAGATGGGTGGTTGAGCTAAATGACCTTTAAGGTCTCTGCCAACCCTGAGATTTTATGACTCCAGTTTTAAGAACCTTTCCCGTTTTCTGAGATCTCCAGAAGATATTTCTCAGGCTTCCTTGGTAACCCAAAGCATGTTTGACAACACTAAAGGCAGCATTTCTTCTTATCTTTGTCTTGATCTTGAAATACTTTTAAAGTGTAATTTTTTTTCACCTTGTGTTTTTGTTATCTTTTCCCCAGTAGCTCTACCTAAAAACTGTGATGGCACAGAGGAGCATTCTACATCTGAAAAAAAATCTCCCCATCAATATGTTTTAGATATGTCAAGAACCGTATTTGTTTTAGGTCTTTACAGTATCCCACAGGTAGTCCTTAAAGGGCTAGCTAGCCCTTGGAGGCTGTTTACGTTAGGGTCATAACAAAGCCACTAAACTGCTCTCTAAGAGGACTAAACCCACCATCACAAAAAAAAAAAAATTTGACAAATTAATAACCCCCTCCAAACAATTCTCAAGTCCAAATGCATAATTTCATGTAAGTATCCCATCCATGAATACATTCCGCAAAGGATAAGGTTTTCTTTTTTAAAAGCAAGAGTTTCCCCCCACTTACTCATTTATCTCTAAGGCTTCATGAGCTGCAGAAATCCTAGCTTGGGGGTTTCTCTCTCTCCAGGCTTTCTGCATTACTGTTTTAGAAAAAGAGAAAAAAGCAAGTCCATCAATACACATAATTTGGAAGACTCAACACAGGACAATAGTTAAATAAATAGCTTTCAGCCTGAATACAAGACAGTATTTCACTTACTAAGATCAGCCCAAATCTCCAAAGTCACACAAATACTCTCTAATTTGCTATTCTCGTGTCCTTCAGTTGATGATATCAAACCCTTCTTGCGCTCATAAAATTACAGATTTAAATCTTATAGGTTAATCCGTGGTCTATAATTTCAGAGATTTAATCTTGATTAAGATTTTTTTTTTACTGAAGTACTAGTTGATTCACAATGTTACAGTAGTTTCAAGTGTAACATAGTGATTCTCCGAGTCTATATGTTACGCTATGCTCATCACACTGCTTATGGTTTCTTAATCAAGAAAGGAAAAGATATTCTAAGAGAGATTCATTTTTTTTTCTAAGAGAGATTTAATATCTCTTTTGCTCATTAGTGTCATTTGTTGTTAAGACACATATATTATTTTACCTCTTCTGAGATGAGATTGCTAATAATCTCTTCCTTCTACTTAGACACAACATAATTTCTATTGCTTATTTTCTCAAACTCTATAGGCTCTGGGTATTAGGACATTTTAAAACCATTTGAAGAATTAGGAGTTGGGTCAGAAAAAAAGTGCTTTAGCCTTTTGCTTAATATGTCTATCTGTTTCCAAAGTTTGCAGCAAACAGTTTTTATACACACACACACACACACACACACACACATAGTGGAAAGCTCAATGTCTGTAATATTTATTGGACTATGATGTTCCACCATGGCAAAGAGTACCTTTAAAAAAAAAAGTGACAGTCTTCATATTTGTTTTATATATATGTATATATTTGTTTTATATATATTATGTATCTTCTTAGTTTCTTAGGTGTATGTACATATTCCTCTTTTTAAAGATGTTTTTCACCTATTTATTTTAGGTCTGGTAATTTAAAAAATATGAGTGGAATTATTTGGATCTCAAACATTGTGAAATGTATGCCAAACAAAAAAAGCCTTTTCTAGGATGGAAAACAAATATGGATTCCAACAGCTAAAGCCATGCTTCCACTCAATGCTAGTGAACCTATAAATAGGCATACAAATCACTACAATATATTCATTTATCATTTACATTCACTGAATCCCAATTTCTAATTACAGTATCATCAGAGAGACATGACCCTTCATCCTACCTCAAGCAAGGATTCAATTATCTTCATATAAGATTGTTATTTGTTGAAAATGTAAATCCAATGTCAGCATATTTTTCTAAACAGTATTTTAAATTTTAAAAAGAAGACTCATTTCTACATTGATACTTCATTGTGATAAATCCTTTATTTAAGTGTCATAATTCTGGGTTCTACTAGTCAATCTCCAATTTGATATTTTACACATTTGAGTTTTTATACAGCAGATATTCTAAAAGTAGTACTCTTAGTACTTAAACCAAAAAGCCCTCCCACTCAGCAACTATCTAAAAGATTGTCCATACTTGCATCTGCAGGACGCAGGTGGTCTGAGTCACAAGTAAAGAATGTCTGGTGGTCTTGGGCAGAGAGATTCATGTCATAGTAAGTCAAAGGCTCTCGTCCTGTCACCCAAGTATACCTGGTAAAGGGGAAATAGATGGTCAGACACTCTGGGAGAAGAAAGCAAGAGCTACAAAATATTAAGCTGCACAGGAGTTGAACTATAAAACATCAACTGAAACACTAAGGCAGTTTTGCCAACGAATGAACGTTTTTTGTTAATAATCATCCTGTTCTCCCTTTAGGAAGTATATCAGCAGAAAAGAAGGAAACATTTTCCTTTATTTTTTTGTCTAAAAATTTTACTAGTACTAACTAATGAAAACTTTCTCTAATTTATATTATAAATAGACATTTCCCAAAAGCCATGAAAATTCTGATATGCCTAATTGCAAAATTAAATTCCAATGTAACTTTTGTGACATCTTCATACCCACGTACGTTCTAGATAAGCTTCAAAATATTTTGATTGTGTAATGCATAATGAAAAGAGTAACTGTAAATAGAAAATTTCTAAAAACTACACATTTTTACATATTATCCCAATTCCAATCCCAAAAATATTTATAAAACAGAAAAATCAAAACATGTGAGCACTGTATCAAAAAATAGAAGCACTCCCCAGACTCTTACAATGACCCCTAAGTGAACCAGCAAAAACATTTGCTGCTGTCTTTACTCTCTGAACTAGACCCATTTGTTTCCCAAGCTGTCAAAATGCTTACCGATTATATTCAGCACCCCTAAATAAATTTAGTGGATTTCGCCATACTTTGCATTCTGCAACAAAGAGAAATATGAAAATGTTACACATAGTCCAGAGACACTACAAGCTAATTAATTCAGCAAACCACCCTTCCTGGCCATTTGATAAGATAATTTTATTCTCTATCCTCTACATGGGAAGCAACATGGAAAAAACTCTGCGTGGTTAATCAGGAAATAAAGCTCAGGCACCAGGACTTTGGAAAATTTCCCCTAATCTCTCTGGGCCCAAGCTTCCTCATTCGCTAAATCAAGGTACATGCCAAAATCAGCTAGCTAGTTCATAACTTCAATAGTCATCAAGAGATCTAAACAGATTCTATGAATTTATTTCTAAAATTACAGGTAGAAGGTATAGCTAGAAGTAAAACTATTTTCTATTACTCAAAAAAAAAATCTTAAAATAACTTCAAAAGTAAACCTAACTTAAGCTCTAGAGTATAATATGCAAGTGCCCTAGATTTTTATTTAGGGTCTACGTTAATAGTGATCTTGTGATAATTCACCAGACTTCTTTTCACACTGCCATAAAGTAGTAATAAGAAAATTAATAAAGTTATTATTTTAGGGAGAAATGCTATGAAAATAAAGTGTTTTAAAGCCTTAACACTGTTTACTTACATAGATACAGATATTAATCATTATACTAACATTATAATTCTAGCATGGACTAATCGACTATACATCTTTCTTATACAAAGACCACAGAAATTTAGAACCACAGGACTTAAAAAAGTCAATTATTAATTTTTAAGACTGTCTTATAAGTGTATGACTAATAAGCTACAATTCTTAAACAGCCTATGATTAAGACTTTCTACTGATTCAGAATACATTTCTTTGAATGAATAATGTTTTATTAGAAAATAAAATCAGTTAACAGTACTTAAAATATCTCTCTGTGTGTAGTCGGCCAAAATAACACACCCAAAGACATATACACACAAAAGTGAGCAATTACTGCAGAAATCAAAAGAACATTAAAGGCCATGGATGATTCATTAAGATTCTCAGTCCTGTTAAATGCAACATCCATCCTTCCACCCATCCACCCATCGATTCATCCATCCAATGAGCACGGAGGACTCAATGGAGAAAACAAACAAGTAAATCATCTATTACGATACAGCATGAGATTGAAGAACATAAAACACTAGAAAAACACTGTGTGTAATCTCAATATATTCTTGTTAAAATAGTGAACGAAGGGTATACACATAACAGAAAGACATATTTTTATTTAAAGAAGATAAATTTATCTTTAAAGTAGGGCTGGAGCTCGCCTAAAATTTGCTCAATGTTTATAAACATTGCTTTTCTTAAAATAATTACTTTTTTTAAAAAAAAAATGTAAAGGCCCTTGGAGGGGTCACTAATGAACTCCAGATCATGGCCTGAATCACACCAGTGAGCCGAACAACCATGATCGCTGCCCTTTAGGCTATTATAACTCTTAGGTCCTCATCATTCCAACCGTCTTCTCAGAGGATGTCTTTCAAGATCCAAGTGCTCTTCTTCAAAGCTTTATGAATATTGCAAGGTTCGTATTTAGCACATAACAAACATGCACACATATTTATGTATAAAGGATGCTCATGAAAGCATTATTGGCAATAAAGCAGAAGCATTTAGGGATATGCTTCTGCCCTGTTGAATTTTTACCTGAAATCTTAGTAAAAAAGCTCATGGCAAACAATTTGTCTCCAGTGAATACATTACTCTATTTGCCTGGAAGGACAAGCACTGTTCACGTATCAGTTGAAAAATTATAAAGCAAAATGCCTTCAATTAAAATTTCAATTCTATTATATATTGAGACAAATGAAATCGTTTCTAAATAAAAATGACTGCAAAGAGACTTTAGTACGGATACCTAAAGTATTTTTGAGCAGAACCTAAAGATTGAATCTTCAGTTAGGAACTGCCACAAGGTAGCCAGCAGGGGGTGCCACAAACATTTTGAAATTTTTTATAGCTTGTAAAGGGGAACTGAACTTTAAAAAAAGTCACTGTTAACATTAGTGTCATACATGTGGTCTGTGTTCAATTTCTTCAACTATCCCTGAAACTTAAAAAAAAATGAGGATCTAAGTAACTATAACAGACGTAAAATATTCTGAATGAGAAAAAAATACGTGACATAGGACTACATAAGAAATGTCTTCATTAGCTATAGCCTTCAAATGGGGGCAAAACAGAAATGATTTTTTTAGAGAAACAAGTGACTAGAGGTTGAATATGAACCCGTCAAAGTTTTACCTTGAATTACATCATAGCTACGTTAATTTCTTCTTTGCGACTCTGTTTCCTAATCTTACCCCTACTACAAAAACTCTCCCAGTCTGGAATTACTCTAGAGTACATAGCCCATAAATATCAGATTGCCTGATGGTTTTCTGAAAAGGACAGATGTTCTAAGTGCCAAATGTATTAGAATGTGAAGATTTAAGTCAAGAAGTTAAATTCAGATATCCAGAGGGTAAAAGTCTTTCTACATGTGGTCCAGTTTCTTATCTTACTCGTGTCTTTGAGGAATAAATTCTTTTATTTAAGTCAGAATTAAAATTTTACCTCCAAAAGGAAATTTGCCTTCTCCATTAATATCAACAATTTCAGTGCCCTTTAGAGGACCTAAAAGTTGCCAGGGACTCCATCAAGGGCTTGCTGACATTAATATTCAATTAAATATATGCCCCCAGTGCAATAAACTGTCTTATAAATTCCCTCTGTAGCAGCCCACAGAAGAGTCTCTATCTACAAATGTTGAGAAAAATATTCAGACCTCAGCACGCATGCAAGAATGCAGTTCAAGAGGAAGAGGAGCGGGGATCCCTGGGTGGCTCAGCAGTTTAGCGCCTGCCCTCAGCCCAGGGCCTGATCCTGGAGACCCGGATCGAGTCCCACGTCAGGCTTCCTGCATGGGGCCTGCTTCTCCCACTGCCTGGGTCTCTGCCTCTCTCTCTCTCTGTATCTCTCATGAATAAATAAATAAAATCTTTAAAAAAAAGAAAAAAGAGTAAGAGGAGCAATAAATATTGGAATACGACTTGTTTAGTTGCCCAAGTCTGCAGAACAGATACCCCTCTTTGCAGGGGATCTCAATAATAGGATGAGTATAAGTTTTTACGTAGGAGACAAAGAACATAAAAAAAAAAAATGTTTACTGCTACCAAGGACTTCTAAAATCAAGCTCCAGTCTTGTCTTCAGCCTTCTCTCTCACCATTTCCTACTAAAACTTGCCATCCCAGTAATAGTTATTTCATCCCTTTTGTACTCATCCATTCCTCTAGAATGCCCTCCCCACTGCTCACAGGACTGTGTGGTTTAAACATACATAGAATAGCTATTTGCATTAGACCTGGGGCTAGACCCTGGGGGAGGAGGGTCTTATAGCTTTGGAACAAAAATAAAAAGGGCATCCAGCCGAAGAAGCTCTGTAGAAGGAATAATGCACCGACAGAACCACAGATTTCCCTTTGTCACAGTCCTCAAAGAAAAAGAGAACTTAATTCTCAGAAAAACCAAGAGGCTCCAAAGTCACAGGGCTTTTATTCACATGGAAGAAAATATTACTCTATGTCCAATTTCTTCAACTCTGAGAACCTTTCTTTCCTAAAATTAAAAAAAATATATATATATATATGATTATATGTCATATATAAATATATATATGATTATATATATATATATATATATATATATATATATATATATATAATCTTCACTTCCAGGGCCTTAAAATATATGAATTATTCATTCATTCATAGCCCAAGAAGACTTGTTATACTCAAAAGTTACCACCTCTTCCCAGAATCTAAAATCTAATAATGATGGGAATATTATTACAAACAGCTATTAGCCTGATCTTCATTGAGTCTTTCTATCAGAGTTTTTTTTTTTTTTAAGATTTTATTTATTCATGGGACACAGAATGAGAGGCAGAGACACAGGCAGAGGGAGAAGCAGGCTTCTACAGGGGAGCCAAATGTGGGACTCGATCCCAGGACCCCGGGGATCACGCCCTGAGCTGAAGGCAGATGCTCAACCACTGAGCCACCCAGGAGTCCCTCTACGAGAGGCTTTAAAGCTCAAGTCATCTATATTCCTTACATAAGCTAGTGAGAGGCCCCTTTAACAGAAGCTATATAATTTCCCCTATAGTTCAAAATAAATGACATTACAGGCTGGTGTCCAGATTGACCAACAACTATCCACTATATGCAACAGACCTGTTGACCCTGCAACATCATATTTCAAAAAATTCTATGACTTCATCAATCAAATTTTCCACTAGGAAAACAGTTTCAAAAACTCTGGGCAAATGTTAGACACTTTTAACAATACTTTTAAACATTTTGTTCCAAAGTACAACAGAAAAGGGCCCTAGACAGAGTTTCATCAGATGTATTATAACAATCAAGATTAACCCCAAGCCAGTCAATGTCTGACATATGATTCTGACATATATTTATTGGCTTTGATATCTCAGAAATTAATACCCAATTGTCTACTTCATACAAGCTCTTAAACAATCATTAAGAGTAACTATATCACTATCTTAAGTAATCAGACTTTAGCAGTTTTCTTAACTTTTGAAATAATTATTTTGAAAAAAATAGTAGTAGTAAAGGCACAAAGTAACACGTAGGTAGCTTTCAACTCAACAAATGTGTTATTCCCTCAAATTTGACAGAATGAGAATAGTTATAAATAATGATGTTTCAAGACCATTTTTATTGATCTGCTCTATTCAAGATGGTACTCTACTCTCTTCAAGTATTGCTAAGATGACTAAATATTTATTGTATCTCTGATATGGTTCTCATTGATCATTTCTGACCTAAGCCATTCAACTCGATCATACTGTGGAAATGGCGAAATAAGTTTATTAAATAAATGTTCTCCAGGGACTAAAACTGTTTTAGGCATTTTCACCATTCAACTGGAGATCAAATTTCTACTAGAACATAAATTTTAGTGGCAAAAGATTTTAAAAGATGTAATAAGCATTGGCTCAGAAAATCACTTCAACACATACATCGATGTGGTGAGGACAACTGGGTTCCCCTAATTGAGACGATTAAAGAGCAATCCCAGAGGTTCTGGACATGTAGCAATTTGCAGTTTAGCCAAGGGATATATTTGAAATGCAAGCAGCAAAAGGCCTGGGCATAAAAGTGAATCACTGAGCTAATGAGTAAACCTCACTAAACCCACAGCCCTATCTCCATGGGGCTGGGCCATCTTCCCTATCATATTCATAGAAAAGTCAGTTCATCTGGAGGACCCTGCCTGATGGTTGTCCTCTGACTTGCTATTTCATTTATTCCTCAAAGTACTCTGTGAGGTAGATACTGTTGTTATTCCATGTATGCAAATTAAGATACCGAAGAAGGTTAAGTGACTCACCCAAGGTCACACACTGTTAAGTGATGGAGCCAAGATTAGGGCCACATCTGTCTGACCCCAGAGCCTAAGCTCTCAACCATCAGCAATCCTACCACTGAGCTGTGTCTAAGTAAGTTTGGCTAATGCCACTTCTGAAATAATATCATGTATGGTAGTATTGGTTTTTAACGAAAGGACTTAATTTACCAGTTTAGTAATTATATTAGTATTGAGTTTATGGACCTCATAGAGGATTTAGACTATATTTTTTAGTTGGTGCTTGAGACTCTGGACTCCAAAGTAAGACTACCTAGGTTACCAGCATGTGACCTCGGAATGACCTTGGGCAGATGACTTAACTTGCCTGCTGTACCTTAGCTTCCTTAACCACACCACAGAGATAATAACAGCATCTGCAGGACGCCTGAGTGGCTCAGTCAGTGAGGCATCTGCCTTTGGCTCAGGTCATGATCTCAGCGTCCCGGGATCAAGCCCCCTATCGGGTTCCCTGCTCAGGGGGAGTCTGCTTTTCCCTCTTCCTCGCCCTCTGCCCCTCTTCTCCCACCCCTGCTAGTGTTCTCTTTCCTTCTGTCTCAAATATATAAAAGTCTTTTAAAAAAATAAGAGCATCTGCTTCTTACATATGTATACATATCTATTATGCACATATATAAGATATACATTAAGACTAAGTGAACCTAAAATGAAATGTTTGAGACAGGAAGGCAAACCTGACTTTGGCAACCTCTGCCTATGTCTCTGCGTCTCTATGTCTCTCATGAATAAATAAACGAAATCTTTAAATAAATAAGTAACTCCCTACACATTATCAGCTCATAAACTGAGTTGAATTAAGAAATCGCAGTGAGAAACATGGTAACATGGCAAATACATCAGCAGGACTTATGAAAAAAATGGTGGGCTAGCTCCCAAATAAAGCAAAACAAGTGAAATATTCATAAATGTTAACCTAAGCCAAACAACCTAAAATTTGGCTAGATTAAGAAGCTGCATAATTGACTACATTTCTTCTCCAATCCACAGACAAGGATTACTACAGATTTTAGAAGAGTCTACACTCAGGCCAGTTTGTACAGAAACAAAAGTTAAACAAGGTAAACAGCCCACCCTGTGACAGTCGCAACCCTCCCACTTCCCATTCCCCACCCCAAATCATCCTTAAGTAGGCCAGGTCTTTCAGCTTTTTTTTTTTATTTTTATTTTTATTTTTATTTTTATTTTTATTTTTATTTTATTTTTTATTTTATTTTATTTTATTTTATTTATTTTATTTTTTTGGTCTTTCAGCTTTTAACCAAAACAAATGATTCCTTAAGAAAAGTCTTATGAACACTATGAGTCCCATACAGATCGATGTTTATAACTGGTATTTTCAGGGATTTTCTAAAGCTTTTTCAACGATTTTTCTCAAATAAGCAATTAAACTGCCTTTCCAATACCCATGGGACTGTTAGCCATGTATTTCACGTAAGACTTAGCGAAAAGCTATCTTATTACTCTCCAAGAAAACCAAAAGATTCACCCTTTTGTTAATAAGGCAACAGCTCTTTTATTATTATTATTATTATTATTATTATTATTATTATTATTAAGGGAATAGGAATTGTTAAATTCCTCTACCTTAAGAAAATGTATTATCGGGACGCCTGGGTGGCTCAGCAGTTGAGTGCCTCCCTTCAGCCCAGGGCACGATCCTGGAGACCCAGGATCGAGTCCCGCATCGGGCTCCCTGCGTGGAGTCTGCTTCTCCCTCTGCCTGTATCTCTGCCTTTCTCTCTCTCTCTGTGACTATCATAAATAAATAAAAATTAAAAACAAAAAACCACAGTCTTAGCCAGGTGAAAACTCAGTCCCTATAAAAGTGGGAATTTCCATGATTATTATTTTTGAATGCAATTTCATAAAGGATTTAGGGCCTTCCTTTTAAAAATGACATAAAAGCACTAAGAATACCATCAAGATTTTATATGGTGCATAAGGCTAACTTCAAGATAGCCATAAAGAGAGAGAGCAAAATAATAGTGGTAGAAGAACTCTTCATTGCATTAGGAATGATGTCAAGAGATTTAAACTGGGTAGAGAATTTTAATGAAAATAAAAATGTACTCGCAATGAAGAATGGCCTCAAATAAGGCTGCTTCCATTTCTAATCTGTTAATTTCCTACAACGTTTTATACCATTCAAAGACTACAGTAACTCTAACCAGACAAGAGGTCTTCACAGACGATGCAAAGTGATGGCAGTCATCCACACTGCTTATAAGATGAGGACTGAATGATCTAGAGCCCCCATTAGAATAATGTGCTACGCTTGTTAGCATAGCGGTTAATGTTTCCCTTTGCTCGGCTCTCTGTTTCTTTCACAAAATGGGTAAGTCCCAGACAATTTTGTTACCTTAGTACCATCTCCCACACGTGTACCCTTTAAGGTGAAATAAATGTGTACCTGGTGGTGCCCACTGCCACCCACAGCTAGCTGGCTGGCAAAGGGCCTAATGAAAGGGCACGAGATCAGTTAACAGGAATAAAATATATGTGCAATGCTCCTTCATGCTTATCACCTGGCTAGACGGTTATGAAATGTGACTGAGTTATCCTAGGAGAAGGAAAAAAAAAAAAAGATCTAATCTAGTTCTTTAATTTCTTCCTCTTCATCCATCAAGCATCAGAACTGGTGCCTTCCCCTTCAAGAAGCAGACTTCTCCCCCCAGTTTGGGTCAGAAACCCCTCCTTTGTTCTCCACAGCATTCTCTGTCCCCCTCATGTAATCAGAGCACTTACCACTATGTCTCCTTCAGCAGACAAGAGGGTTCCATGAGGACAAGGACTTTGGCTTTTTTTGCAATCATCATATTCATAAGAACCTGTATAAGGCCAGGTTCATATTAGGGACCTGGGAAATGTTTACTGAGCCTATAAAGAGACCAAGCTAGGAGATGATACTCCTCCTCCCTCTTCTTCTATGGATGGAGAAATTACAGGCCTTGCATGCAATCATTTGTTCATTCACTGAGCTTCATGATGGAGCAGACACTGTGCTAGAAATACTGCAATACAGCAGTACGCTTAAACATTACAGTGTGATTGGACAAATGTTGCTAGAGATAAAAATGTTACAAGTCAACAAAGGTGGCGAAATATTGTAGAACCTACCAGAGAAGGCTTCCCAAGAGGTAACCCTGGAGCTAGGTTATGAAAGACGGGCAAACGCACGGGAAAGGGAGACAGACTTGTAGGAAGAGGGCCATGAGAAAACATGGCATGGTGAACAACAAATGAAAAGGAGAGGGACACGACTGTGACTGAAGCCAAAGTTGGTGAGACAGGTTGAAAGCAGCTCATGCTATGCTAAGGAATCTGGGCTTTATCTTCAGTGGAGTGGAAACCAAAGCAGCCTTTTAAGCAAAGGAGTGATGGGATCCCACCTAGTTAGACAGAAGGTTCGGCAGTTAGCATGGAAGAGAATGGACACATTCAATAAAGTTCGAGAAACGAGGGACAAGGAGGCTGCAAACTCAGGCTTGGCACACTGACCGAAATAAATGATCCTTAGCTACACCAAAATGGAGAAAAAGTGAAATTAAACAAAACAAAGATTTCCTTTCCCTGTGATAATTATATGCTACTTCCTGGGTAAGAAGCTGTCAACTCCTTGGGAAAATACACTGCATTTTTTTTTCCTCTGGAGACTAGTATTCGAACAACAACATTATTACTGTCTTATAATCATAGTAATTTAGTAAAAGTCAGCAAATCGTGTTCAAACGACAGGACTTTCCATACCTGAGACACTTTGCCTGTTGGAATCGGAGTCCCCATTGCTGGAGTTAGAATTGTTGGAGGAGTTGTTGTCAACCCCACCCAGGAGGGGGCGCAAGTGGCTTACGGAGACTTGTTCAATGAATGATGTTCCGTACTTGCGAAAATACCACCATTCAAATATCTAGAATAGAAAAATAGTAAGCGTGATTATAGTCCTTGTGACTGTTCATGATTTTCGTTCACATACCCAGAAAATCTGTTGCATTTACTAACTGCATCCACCTTACTTAATCTTTTGTTCCAAAAGTTTTACCGAATTTATTCTAAAAATTGAAGAGTTTAATAAAATCAAAACACCAATTACATTTTAAATCCTCAATATAGTTGCCTCCACTTAACACCGGCTTTCAAAGAAAAATCTATAACTATAATCATGGATAAAAGAACACTGTTAAGAGCTGCTCATTTTCTTTTTTTTAAAAAAAATTTTTATTTATTTATTCATGAGATACACAGATAAAGGGAGAGAAAGGCAGAGACACAGGCAGAGGGAGAAGCAAGCCCCATGCAGGGAGCCCAACGTGGGACTCGATCCCAGGTCTCCAGGATCACACCCTGGGCTGAAGGTAGGCGCCAAACCGCTGAGCCACCCACGTATCCCCTCATTTTATTTTCCTCCAAATTCACATAGTATTCTAACAAAATCACCATGGTTGAAAGACAACTCCAGAAATGTATGCAAGTAAGCAAGTTTTAGAAGTATGGCTTATGAAATATTCCAATTCTTGGCACCTTACATTCTGATAAAGCCATACCTGCATAAAATTTTTAAGAGAGGGATCCCTGGGTGGCGCAGCGGTTTGGCGCCTGCCTTTGGCCCAGGGCACAATCCTGAAGACCCAGGATCGAATCCCACGTCGGGCTCCCGGTGCATGGAGCCTGCTTCTCCCTCTGCCTGTGTCTCTGCCTCTCTCTCTCTCTCTCTCTCTCTCTCTCTCTCTGTGACTATCATAAATAAATAAAAATTAAAAAAAAATTTTTAAGAGAGCAAAATTTTGTATTTATTTTAAGAACAAGCATTCCCTTAGAGAAATGCTGGTTTCGCAGAAAGAATGAAAGGCATTCCATTTCTTGTATGGATGGTCCTCCACTACTGAGACCCCGCAAAGTCCCACCTGCTAAGAAGTGCTTTATAAGCACAAGCATCTGTTGAACACCATTAATGTCTCCTCATTCACTAGTTTACCAATTATTATGGACCATGCATTGCAAAGGAGAAAAGAAATGACTTTCATTAATAAAAGGAAAGAAACAGTAATGCTCATGTGACGAGGCTGAAATCGTGACTTCTAAGCACTGGGAAAGCAAGCGGCCTCCCCACCCAAGCCTCCTTCCCTGGCCCCTGAGTCCCTCCAGTGAATACTTTTCCCACCACTGTTCACAGCTGCTCTCTCCCACACTCTTCCTTCTCCTCCCTGCCTCACCTGGGATTTGTTCCTTAAGTAGCCACAAATCACACAGAAGAAAATCAAGAATCAGGTATTTCCCAGAGTCGCATAGGATTAACCGTACTGTATTTTTATAATATACAGAATGCGGAGCTAACATAGAGTGAATTACCTTCATCCTTACCTATTTCTTAAAAACAAGATTTTGTGACCTACCCTGGAATGGATTTGGGGCTGTTATTTAAAAATCAATGTTTTCTCTCTTTTGCTCTACAAAAAAAAAAAAAAAAAGCCTTTTCTTTTCTTTTCTTTTCTTTTCTTTTTAGCCTTTTCTAAGAAAGAACATCTATGAATGGCCATAGGAGCCACTGATCAAACCTAATGTTTCCAATTCTAAGAAAACTTTAATTCCAAAAAGTTACCTCTTCTGACTATATGAATTTTCACTGTGTTAAGACATTCGAGTAATTTCACCGGGCAGACGGGAGAATGTGATATGAAAGCTAAGAAGGGACAGAACTGGTCTACAGCGTTTGGAATACTAGGAGTAAGAGACCTTGCTTGACGCAGGGAGCAAAGTTCAAGAATGGGAAATTTCTAAACCATGAATCCAGGGAGTTTGTAAGCTCAGGCAAGTTATTTCATCTCTTTGAACACCAGTTTCTTCCATCGTAAAGGGGAAATGATATCCATTATCTATCCTCAAGGGTCCTCGATTTTCACAGCCGTTGAAAACACCTAGTTTGACTCCTCGTGTAAAATTGCCAGCTGAGCGCCCACCGCGTGTTTGGTTCTCACAAGCACCAGCAAAGCTGGCATGTATTCTGTGCCGAGGCACGCGGCTCCCGCGCACAGCTCACCTGCCGTCCTGATGCCCCCCTCCCTCGCCAGTCTAGGATTCAGGCCGGTACAGCATCTTCTTGTCCGTTACCAAGTTGTTGGCTCAAAACCCTAGAAATCATTGTGAAAAACGGGTACCGCTCCCCACTCGGCTCTGCCCACCCAACAAAGCCCTTAAGAGATTCGCGGCTTCGCCTTTATTAGACGAGAAGGCAGGCTCCGAGCGACCCAGGAACGCTGGGCCCAGAACTGGCCCTGGCTCTCAATCACCGTGGCGGGAGCCTCTGTTGCCCCAAGCTTTGCTCTGCTTTCTACATCACGCTGCTGGGCACCTGCCAGCCCTTCGTCCATTCATTTAGTCACGTAGCAGGAAGGGCTCCACACCCGGCAAGAGCTGTGCCCCAGGGTTATACAAATGCACACGTGGCCCCTGATACTCCCAGGCCACACCACAGGCCACGGCACCTCTCACAGCCTATACCCATCACAAAACACACCCACACCTACACACGCGCATGCACGCACACAAACACCTTGGAACTCCAGATTTCTCAGTTTCTCCAGAAGAATCACAGAACGTCAGTGCTAAAAGGGACCTCAAAGGACCATGTACAGTGTCCACTTAAAGAAGGAGGAATGACCAAAGTCACACGGCAAGCAAATGAAGTAGCTGCTCAGCCTGAAGCCCCAGTTCTGTGCCACTAATCGCATCGGGGCTCTACAACAAGACATCTTTCTGTAGCTCTGCTGTGTACTGAAACACAGACAGGTGCAGCCTACCATTGCCCTTTGCTAATCTTTATTTCCCACTGCCTGCCGACTCCATTGTCCCTTTGCTTTCTCGGCTATCAAAATTAATCCAGAAGGAGTCCATCAAGTGGGACTGGATAATTCATCCTAAAGTATAAATGATTCATATTAATGAAGTATTTGCATTATAATAGGGGACAGATCTTCCACCCAGTATTTCTGATGCCAGATTAACTCAATCTCAGTCAAGACTGGGACTGGGTTATTCAAGCAGCTATTCGGGGGAGGGGGCGGAGAGGGTCTTCTCAGGCCTGACTTTTCATAGCAGTAGATGGCGTCTTACCTATCACAGTCCTTCTCCGTACTATATGAATACCCCCAATACCCTAGCACAGAAACTCTAATATGCGTTGAAGGAACAACCAGCAAAAGGAAGTAGGAAAGGACTTGAAGCCTTCTTAAACCTCAAACTAAGTCTTCTAATTTGGGGTTAACATAATAACTGCCCTTTACCCAGAAACGTGACAGGTTTTGGGGCCAGCACCTCAGAGTGTTTTTAAATAGCTGCACAGATCCAAATGGGCAGATGGTGTTATTTAACACACACATATTTGGTGTCACTTTGAATTCTTTTCCCTGGTGCATAACCTACAATGTAAACAGCAAAGCTCTCATAAACAAATTTAGATTTTAAAATTAGTCCTTGCACAAACTAGTAGCTTAGTAGGCTGGCCTCGGTGGAATAAAACAGGTTTTAATCCACAGAATTCACATATAAATTTACTATTTCATAGTCTTAAAAACATAATCCCTCTAGTGCTTTTTTCCAACTCGTGCTCCACCTCAAAGATTATACAGATCAAGTAAGGTGAGAACTAAAAAGCATCAATTTGATTTGGCATTTGGGAAATCAACAGTGGTCCTCCCATCTAGTTGAAAGGTCAAAACCCAAATATACTTCATGATAGCTAAGCGGTGTGACCACGTTCGGTTCTCTTCATTCTCTGGGACTCAGTTATCTAATGTGCACAATAAGGTCACAGTAAGCACTCGGTTAATGTTGGATGGATACACAGATGAATGATTACAAGACTGGATGGATGGACGGATGGTTTGGACAATTAAATGGATGGATGACAAGGCCTGGCCCAGTGATTTAATGGAAAATAGTCTAAATCAAGAGCAGGCAGGACCAACAAACATTCTCGTATTCTTTTTGTTTGTTATTAAAAAAGAGAGAGACTTACACGTATTTGTGGAAGAATAAAGAATCTAGTGAAAAGAGCGACATTAAAGAGGCCAAAGAATACAAACAACCAAGAGGCATGATGCCAAGAGCCCAGAAAGCACACCCGCTCCACCTTCAAAAGGAACCTACCATTTCTTGCCCTGAGACAATAAGAAAAGGAAGGGTGAATGAATAGAGGGGAACATTCTATTTTAGAAAGTAGGGTGTGATATGAGCTGCTTCGCTGGTAATAAGGCAACAAAGGGCTAAAGTGGGTGACACTGATCTCAGTGGAGATGCAGGTAAGGCTTGTCTTTTGAGCATAATAAGGAAAGTGGGGATGGAACTGGGAATGTGAGAACTGAAGTAGTAGTTTGGATCTATACTTTGCAGGACAGAAGGGTCAAAATCTCTACATGGGACTCAGATCATCTTTAAAAGAGACCCATTTGTTGGGGCACCTGGATGGCTCAGTGGTTGAGCATCTGCCTTTGGCTGAGGTCATGATCCCAGGGTCTTACAGGGAGCCTGCTTCTCCCTCTTGGCTGTGTCTCTGCTTCTCTCTGTCTCTCATGAATAAATAAATACAACTCTTAAAAAAAAATAGAGACCCATTTGTCAAGGACCCAGTTTGACATACTCTTGGAAGCAGAGAGGATGACCAAAAAGCACTGGGACTAGGGGTGGAGATCTAGGCTTGGAGCTGGACTAACGTACAAATTTGTCTCATGCTCTCCCACAGGGAAGGAACAAAAATCTGGCAAAGGAATAAACAAACAAGACCCTTCCTTTCATCTTTCCTGCACACCTAAAAGCTAGGTCCTTCCTGAAGATGCCTAGATTTTCCCTAGCCAATAAGCCCTCTTCTTCTTGAACTGCAGTTTTTATATATAAAATACTCCTCCTTGTGAATTG